AACCGCTTTGAGACGACCCACAAACTAAGCTGGGATAAAGCGGTACATAAGAACCTCGAATTATTATCATTTATTATTATTATTATTATTATGTAGAACTCACAATATTGACGTAACATAAGCATTTCACCTAAGTCAGTACATCAGGTATGTCAGGTCCAGTGCGAATTTCAAAACTGCTAATATCTTTTAATTTCAGCTTAACCTTATGTGTTAAGTGGCTTTGAGACAACAATTTGGTTATATAATTCTTTCGGTTAAAACAAAAATCAAACCCTGCAAAATTCAAATATTCAAAAGGCTAAGCAGCATTTCTATGGGATATAAAGCAAGTTAAACATTTTTCTACTTACGCATTAAGTATTTTTATATTGCTCTATATTTTGTGAAAATAAGATAATAAGTTTGTAAGCAATGATGTATGAAATTCATAGAAAAAGCAAATTGGTTGAATTAATGTCCACTTCTTCATCAGCCAATCAGAAGAGAGGTAGGGAGAAGATCTCGTGAAATTCTTCTGGATTGCACTTATCTCAGAACTTGATAGGAAAATTAAAGAATTACACATACATTGCATGTATGAATAATTCATGCAAACATTTTGCCAAACCTATACACTAAGAAAGCTATCCTACAGGAAAAAACCCAGCTGCAATAATCTGAAGAAGCATCATACTACCTTATAAAATATGCACAGAACTTCAGATGAGAATTGAACATGCCCAGACAAAATCCTTATAGATTACATTTAGGAACCACATTTAAAACAGAATGAAAGTCTGAAAGCAACCTATTGCAGTATTTTTAAGTTAACCATTCTAAATGTGGTAGCAAAAATTTGCATATTTTTCTAGACATCACCCAAAATTTCTTCAAATGGCACTAACCACAGGAAAAAATGTCAATGTTTAAGTCAGTTTTATCAGACCAAGGTCGTACCTTGTTAAGGTGACAATCACAAATGTATTGCAATATAATTCAATTAGAATAGATATTTTACTCTTGTGAGTGAATATTTACCCAAAATCTTGATTCAAAAGCCCCCCAACTATAGCACTGATTTTTTTTACCATGTGATTATTTCTTATAAACATGCAGACAAACAAACATATCACGAAGTGACTTGTACAAAACACAACTCTGAAATCTCCATGGTTACCACTGGTAAGTGTTGATTAAACAGGATTCGTGGACATCATAACCATTATAATCTCACAACTTCTATTGAACCATAACATACACCCATGCTACAGACAACAACCCACATATAAACATACCACTCGGTTATATATCCATTTATATATCAAAGATATATTTCTGTCACAAGTTAGTTTGTCTTCTCTCGAGAATTATACTCAACGTCACTGCTGCATTGTGCAACACAAAAATGAGGACGAAACAGAGCTGATACAAGATTTTTTTGTGACTGAAAAATATCTTTTGAGAGTCAGACTCGCACATCTGAACTAAAGTCATCACAGATAAACGTTCTGGTTACGATGTTTGGAAACAATACATGGGATTCCTGGCAGCATTTTGAACAAAGCAGACTTGGTTGCAGGATTCGGGAAAATGATTTGATAACATCAATACTTTCTTGGGAAGCATCATCAGAAAGATTTGGAGGCAGTTGGAAGGAGATACATGTAGTTAGGCTAAACATGTTGGATTGGGATCTGGCAGGCAAACAAAGCAGCCTTTTAAGATGACTGGCCTTGGGAATAGGCCACACAGCGAACATCTAAAAACACACGCCATCTTACTTGATTCTTCTTCGGAGGAGAAGAACACTGGTTTCACTGCCTGCTTGGATTTTACAGTGACTTGAGATCCAAATCCTGCATCTTCAGATCTGCGAAGAGATGTTGATGATCCACTAATGTTTTTTTGAGTGCTTGATTCCTGTTCAGCCTTCAAAGATCGGAGAGAGGTAGATGACCCTCTGATGCTCTTCTGAGCGTTTGACTCCAGCTCTTCATCAATAGACTCGCGGATAGATGCGGATGATCCAACATTTGATTTTGACCTAGTATTGACAGATTTGCGGAGGGATGCTGATGAACCTGTTAGGGACTGCTGAACAATTGATTCTTTTTCAGCATCCAAAGATTGACGGACAGATGCTGAGGATTTGTTCATACCACGTTGCATTTGAGAACCGAATTCAGAGCCAGTAGATTTACGAAGTGATACTGAAGAACTATGTAAGCCAGATGCTGTGTCTGCTTCTGCCAGTCTCCGAACAGAGGCTGCTGGTTTTGTTCGGGGTGAAGTAGTCAAGTCGTCTGTTACGGTTTGTCCTAACCCAACCTCTGTTGTAGGATCTTCTTGTAAAGGTAAAGTAAGATAAACAAAACATATGATGACAGCTAGAGATCAGAAGACATATTAAAAACCTCTTGAAATGTTCCAATATTTCCTGTCTGGACAGATGAATGTAAGAGACAAATGCGATTGTACCTATAGAATTAGTTATGTCAAACGTGATTTACGCTCCACCAAATAGCTGTTTTTTCCTTCATGGAATCAACAGTGATGCTGGGGGAAATAAAAAAAAGATAGAAATCCAAATCGGTCTGTTAAAACAGGAGAGGAGGTGTCTAAAACCCCTAAATTATATGAATTTCAGAATTAGGAGGTGTAGTGGTTGATTTCAATTTCATAAAGAGTGGATATTATGAACCACGCCACTACTCAGAAGAGATAATAATAGCCACTGATGCTTTAACTTGTGTAGTATTTCACTGTGAAAGTAAAGTGCAACAAATCATTCACTCCATGCAAAATAAAAAATATTTTTCGAGGGATAAATGATAACTTCTGAGTCATGCATGAACAGGTCACATTCAGTGCATGTCTATCAATAGATTCCAGTGTAGGACAACAAGTTACTAGTGGGCAGAGTGGAAACAACCATTTTTAACAAAGAAGAAACATTCTCAGTGAAACGTACGTCTCTTGTGAATATGAAAAGACAAAAACATGTCAGTCAACAACAGAAACATCTTACGCCTTGTTTTGAAAGAATGAACAGAAGACCCCCTGGATGACATTAGTGAACTCCTTGACCCCAATTCAGAGTCAGTGCTGCGTTTGAAAGATGACCCAGTGGACTGTATGCTGTGTCGTTTGGCATCTGATGCTCGTGTCATGGACGTTTGAATGTCATCATCATCATCGTCATCTTCATCTACATCCTCAGGAATTTCCTCCATAGCGTCCTCCTCCTCATCTTTTGGTATTTGAAATATTTTGAGTAAAACAGTATAGGAAAACAAGTAAAAAGTAAGAGTAATATTAATCTATGTAATATAAATGTAATGATAATCATATCATGACTGAACCTATTGTATTAGATATTATGGTTGGAATATTTTGTAATTTATTTTCTATTAAAAAAGTATGATTTTCAATTACATAACATTGATTATAACATTGATATTATCCCAGGGGATACAAT